CAGGACACGGCCATGTTCAAAATCCCGGTTCTACCTTCATTCATCCCACAGTAGTAACTTGTTTCATCTTTATTATGTTTCATTTTTATTAACCTTTTTAATAAATAAATAAATTAAAAGCCATGCAGGCTGTAAAAAACATTAAATGGACATGTAGTGAAACCATTGGTCCCTTCCACCTCACCCTAGTATCGTTTCCCAAAGAAAGAGCCTTGTTTTCAGTTTATTGTATATTCTTCCCCAAATAGCCTATGCACGTACAAGCATAGCATATATAGGCATGTGTGCATAGATCCCTCTTTCAAAAGGAGCACACACTAGAAAATTATTGTATGTATACTGCTCTGCTCTTTGCTGAATTATCAGTGTATTTGGAGATTAGTCCATGTCAGCCATATTGACTTCCCTCCTTTTTCATAGCTGCATAGTAGTCCATTGTGTGGATGCATCAGAATTTATTTAGATTGTTTTCAGTCTTTGGCTATATAAACAAAGCTTCGGTAAATGATCTTCAATTTATTTCCTTGCACATATGTGTGTATCTGTATAGGATAAATGTCAAAAAATATTTTGCTGAATGAAATTTGAATTTTGATAGATACTGCCAAATTATTCCCAAAGGAGTAGATATGCCAACTGATACTGCTACAAAAGGCACGAGAGTGACTATTTCCCCAAACCCATGCCCATACTTCAATACTATCCAACTGTTATGCATCAAAAATGATTGTGGCCCCATGTGTCCTGTCATTTGTGCTATGCACAGAGCAAACAGGAATAATGGCAAGCAAAAACTTAACCTCAAAAAACGTAAAGGCTGTGGACATAAAAAGTAGGACTTTGAGGGCAGTGTGTGGAGGAGCCCATAGCCAGGGACACAGTCCAGTCTGAGGGGCGGGGAATGCCTTCCAGCCAGGGGAACACAGAGGTAGGGAGGGATAGCAGGGTGAAACAGTCCCCTGGGAGCACCTGCCTGGGTGCCCAGGTTCCTGAGAGCAGCTGGGGCTGGCCGGCGTGCAGCTTCCCGCTCCTGCACGGGGCCAGTTGTGTTCCCACATCAGCGTCACCACATCAAAGCCCAGCACACATGGCCGTGGCTGAGATGACGAAGTGCTTGATTAGCAGCCTGGAATGTCCAGATGAGGTGTCTGGGCTGCGCCGGGCTTACGTGCACCCAGAAGGACCCTAATAATTCAGCAAGGTTGACACGTACAAAGGAGTCGTCAACCGGCCAGGAGGGTGGGGATGAAGACAGAGGAGAATGCAGTGACCTCATCTCCCCATCCACGCTGGAGAGGAGGTCCCCCCAGAGGCCCCCACGTGGGGGAAGAAGTGTTTGTGGAGAGGCCAGTACTGAGCTGAGGCCATTTGCTTTGGCAAGCGGACATCACATTGGCCGTGGGAAACGCCCAGAACCATATGGTGGGAGGCCTGCTGACGAGCTCCGGGCGCCCAGGGCACTGCTCCCACTGACTTTGCCAAACGGGCAGGAGGGAAGGAGGCCCAGGGCCTGGCCTGCTGTCTTCCGGCCCAGGCTGGGCTTCTCCTCTGAGCTCCCTGCACATCACCCCACCTCACCGCCCAGGAGAGAGGATTGGCCTCGCTGGGATCAGCAGCCCTCCTCCCACCCTCCAGGCTCAGGTCTCAGGATACAGAAGATGACAGAGTTCTC